CATCCACTCACACGCCAGTCACTCACACCCCAGTCACTCACACACCATCCACTCACACGCCAGTCACTCACACACCAGTCACTCACACGCCAGTCACTCACATGCCATTCACTCACACAGGCGCACCTACGGGCAATCTGGTAACTACAATTAACCACAGCACATTTTTGGATTGTGGGGGGAATCCATACTGTAGTACCCAGAGGAAACCCCACAACGAAATGCGGAGAACAAGCTGGTCCTAGAGGTGTGAGGAAACAGTGCTAACCACTTCAGTACCATGTCACCACCACTGTTCCCTATCCATCCATCCATCCATCCATCCATTGTCCAACCCGCTTATCCTACTGGGTCGCGGGGGGTCTGGAGCCTATCCCGGAAGCAACGGGCACGAGGCAGGGAACAACCCTGGATGGGGGGCCAGCCCATCGCAGGCACTGTTCCCTATAATGTTACTAATATTAGGAAATAATTTGAAAGACTACATGATTCAACAAATGTAAAGACATGACATCACATACTAAGAGATACCTTATTACTGCAAGCAGAAGAGTTCAAGGTCATTCTGCTCCACACACACAACCATCTGACCGACCTCTACTGCACCAACCCAAGTCTCTTATCTTATTGTCTCATGTTCTATGTAATTAAGCATTTAATTAAGATTTCTAATCAGAAATGATTGAATGGTTAGCCAATAAGCAGACTTTGATCCCAACGTGACAGGTCAATGCTTTCAGGGTAACAGATTCATTTGACATTAATTAAGATCCACCAAATATTTAGAAAGACGTAAGATGATGCAAATTAAAAGAGGCAACAGTCAACATTACAGGAGTGCTGCAGTGGGTTTTTCCTCAAAATGTAGAGAAAAACAGAATCATTAACCGGAACGATCAGTTGGTAGCATTATGTACTATAATACATAAACTCTTATAAAAGACAATTCATATGCACCATATCTACAGAAGACAATGCTTCCCATTCTCAGCTTGCAGCCATATTGGCAGATATAGCATTCCTCATATTTAGCAGAATCAGGGCAATGAAGAAAGCTCTAATTTTGACATACAGTGAAAATGTATTGCAATTTTTATGACTATGGTTGATCATGATAGTGTTTTTCACAAAGGAAAACATTTTCTAATAGGCTTCAAATAGCAAATCAGCCTTCTAAACCTTTGGTAAGGAAAGTGATTGACTAAAACTCCAGGGGACATAATGTCTAACAGATTACAGCAGTAACGGAGGAACAGATTGCAGCTGATTTCGAATCACAGTGGCTGGGGCTGGCTGTCACATCTAAGCCCATTTGTGTACAGGAAGAATTCATGGAGCATCTACAAGAGTTCCGATAACTCAGCTTGTATAGCAGTATGGCAATCGGTTTTTAGGCATCATCAGACACATATGCAACTTGTCAAAACTAGAAATCCCTGTGTGATTTTAATGTGACATAAATATGCTTCCCCTCCCCGGACTAGCGCACACAGAGTTCGTGTATGTGTGTGGGCATGCTGTCTCAGCGAAATTCACACACTGCGGTCTATATAATTCACATCGAGCTGGGAGCAGAAAAGGTGGGCTGAATCCCGATTCTCAATCTGTGCTGTCACTGCCCTCAGAAACAGGCACAGTTACATAAATAAGCCTGTTCTCAGCATTATCAACTTCAAAGCTGATAATCATCTGTGAGTCTTGCATCTGAAAGTAGGAAGTTGTCGCTTGTTAGTTTTCACACAGTCATCTTTTTCCCTCTCCGCATTAATTCCTAGTGAAAAGGCAAATGTTTCAGAAGATGACAGTGAGGGAGTGCAGGCATGTAATGTTAACTGCAGATACAGCTGGATAGCACAATGTCCACAGTGCAGGAACATCATTCGTGACAATTTAACAATGGCTGTTACATTTAACAATTTAACAGCCTATTAGCGCTAAAAAAACAGTAGTACTAAGTTACAATGTCAGCATAATAATGGATAATGATCAGATCAAAGTCCAGTGGCTGACACATAGAATTCATTATTATATACTGTACTGCCATTGTAACATCATCGTGCTTAAGCACTACTGATGGATTCCTCAAATGCTGAATTAATCAGAAACATACATTATCTAAAGATATTTTTATCACGTGCATGTTTATCTTTATAGGAGATGTCATTAGTATTGTGTACTTTATGAAAATGACTTTAACTGCTACAGGAACAACTGACTTATGAACAATTTTGGATTCTCAGCAGACCCATGATTCTATATTTAGTCTGGGAATATGGGAGGAAAAGCAGGCACATATAACAGGATTGAACAAATCTATTTAAGCATGGAGTGAGTCATTAGAAACGCATTTGGGCTGCTGTAAAGATGCAGGCTGGGGTGGCACATTCCTGGGTGACGGGCGAAGACATCCCTGAATGAACGCTGGCTGCTCTCCCATGCAACTATCCTGGAAGAAGGGGGAGGGTGTCTTTGAACCTCAAACCAAACTATGTCTGTACCAGCTAACATCACACTGCAAATATGCAATCATTCTGACCAAGTTGTTTTCGTCTTGAAGAATCAGTTTTTCCATAAAGTAAGAAAAATGAGCAAAGGAAAAGTACCTGATGGTGGAGATGGAAGATGGACGGGCGGAAAAGGTCAGTTTAGTTGGAACTTGCTATACATAAAACACAGTTTTCTTAAAGGATAAAGGGGATAAATAAATATCACAACTAATAATAATAATTATAATAATGATAAAAATAAGATATTCACAGTAATGTTATGGAGATGATGCCCATAAATAATAAAAAAGAAATACATAAGCATTGCTCACCAGTGACAGACTGTTATTTTTGTTTTTTGGAAAGTGCACATTCGCTCACATTTCTGTTTAAAGCAAACAGAAAAAAGCAGATACCAGATATACCAGATAAATAAATACCAGAGCCCATTCAATTTTTTTCAGGTCTGTGCACCTTCTGTTTTGAACGTTCGGTATCGATCACACAACTATATGACCAATCAATTAATGAAGGAATCAATTAAATAATACAGAAAGAAAAAAATCAGAATATATAAAATGTCCTTTCTTTCCTTTTCTTTTTCCCCACACTTGGAGTGTCCCTATAGTCAGATCAGATGTGTGTCATTTCTTGGAGTGAGAAAAAAACGCAGCGAATGGGAAAATGGAGAGAAAGAAGAAGGGGGGGGGGGTGGACGACATGAGCAATGTGTGTGCTGGATTCAGCAGGGGGGGTAAGATGCTGATGATGACTAGTAAGCGTCCCTTTGCCTTCCCAGCCCCCGTGTCAGATTCTCAGGCATAGGATGACAAAGGGAAGTCCACAGGCCATGTGAGCAGATGGGCAGATCGTCAGAGCGCTTCCCCGTACCGTGCGTCTGCATTTCCCACAGCTCCCGCATTTCACAGCCACCCAAATGTGGTGTGTCCATGTGGGACAGAATGGCGGTTACAAAAATGTATGTTATTATGAGTCAGGTTCGAGGGAAAAGCAGTTTTTATGCATTATGGAGTCTATTAGCATAAGAACCACCATGGACAAACAAAATGCAGTGAACCGCCTCAACATATTGACAGTGAACATACAGAGCGATGGGTCATGGCTGTTTATGCATGTTACTGTAAGCGTCACATAGCATGTAAAGCAAATTAAGATGAACAGAAACGCTACTGAAAAGTGTTCAGTTGTCCATGAATTATGATGTATGCAATTTTGTTGAAATGAGCCATTTCAATTTTTTCGTTCTCAGCCTGTTTCAGTCATCAGAAGGGTTCCTCCATGAAAATAAGTATCGGCTGCCCTTTCTGCCAGCTTCATTACAACTCAGGGGGGGGCGGGGGGGGGGGTTCATAAAAGCAACGCGATGCCATCGATCTTCATTTCAGCAAAGAATCATGCGGAACGCAGCGGAATGGAGTTCTTACACAAGAGAGTCAAAAGTAATCAATCAATAAACATTCTTCTCAATTAAGAAACGGCACTTTCTCATTCAGTTTTTATTACATGTGCTGCCGTGAAAAGCTGTTTAAGCACTATATGGTGCCTCATACTGTTCACAGCTTCAACACTGAGATAAACTGACAGAGTAACATGCTGTGACAGGGTGCAAATAAAAGGGAATATAAAATTTTAATCCCATCCATGTGCTGGCATTAAATCTGTGGTCACTGCATGGATTTTCATTGCTAAAGTTATATTTAAGAATCTTTTATTTGTAAAAAAGAAGGAGAAGTTGCTCGGATTTCATTGTCTCACTGAGGATCACGCAAAGATATCATTTCTGCTATAGGATAAGAATCAGTCACTCCGAGGTCGCCAAGCCGACAAGGAGTACATTCTGGACAATGACATCTTGTCAAGGAGACAGACCCACCATAATAAACTACTGCAATCACCCCTACAGCACAGGCCGAGAGTTCGATCTGAAGTTTTCCCACGTTATCTGGGTGCGTACTCACGAGTATTAATCTTCTGAAGTGAGATGTGCTTCTCTAGCTGCCTGCGGAGTTTGACTTCAGCTCCATACTTTCCAGTGGTGCCGTTGTCAGCCAGGATGAAGTGAGAGTGCAGGCTGTTAAGCACCGTCAGCTTGCTAAGAGGATTTGACATGGTCTGGTACGGCCTGACCACCTGCTCAAAATATGGAATGGCGACCAATTAGCATGTAGAAGCAGACAGAAGTTTAAAAGAGGCATGGACATCATTAATGGGCACAATAAGACACACAGTAACAGTTAAAAAAATTTGTTAGTTATATAATATATATAATAATCTACCTATTCAAAAATGTTAGTACAACTGGTAAACCAGACGTATTCTATAAATATGGACACTGGGGGCCATTTAACTCTCCCAATTTGGTAGGATTCTTTACTGGGCTTGATGATATCTTTGAGCATTTTTGATTTGGCTTGGAGTATGAATAATTATTTTTTTTCTCCACTTCTTACTCTGCTTCAGTGGCAACCAGAGTAATTAAAGATCCATCCCCGCTAGAGGCTAAAAGGCCCAAGGAGTGAATCTGCAGTCTTTGGCTCTCGGTTGCTGTTCCCGGAAAGTGGATTTTAACATTTTAATTTCACTGTCAGAAATTCGGCAACTGAAACATGCTGTCTTCTCAGTGAATTAATCAATTGGACCATTGAAATGTTTAATTATGGTGCATGTCATATAATTATTGAGGCAGTTTCCGGAAATTGGCTCTTTACTTGCTAATACTTTGTATCTGCATTATGGAGTATATAACACACCCTTGATAACCACAAATTTTTAGATATACTGTATATGTCTAGAATATTTAAGTATTATCAATGTAACACTGGGTCCACTGAGCCAAAAATATGAATTGGCAATGATCAAATGTGTAGCATGGCTTCACCGTGGCCCCCTACTGGATAAGTGAACTAAGATGCAAAAACCCTAGCAGGTCTTGCAAATATTGCTATAATCATTACTATAAGTAATATTATGCTGAGCAAAAAAGAAGAGTTTATTGCCAAATACGGAGTAACAGTATTTCAATCCTATATACAGTAACTGTATTTGACTATTATGCTTGATGTTCATGTACACAGAGTTGATATACAATTATAAAGAGCCAGCACAGACAAAAATAACAGTTTAAATTAAAATGGTTTTTGGTTAATTGTTGGTTACTCCATAACATGATCTTATTTATTATTTAAATATGCACCTCTACTCTTTCATGCAAGCTATGATGTAACTGCAAGCTGCTGGCAAAGACATTTTTGCCCATTTTATTTATCATTTAATAAATCATGCTGTATAACTTAAGAATCAAAATGTCCATGATTTTTTTCTTAACAACACTAGCAAAAAAAACGGGACACTAAAACAGTTGGTTTAAACCAGCTTCTGGCCTTTAATGTGTCATTCATTTAGCAACTTCTGTCATTTGTGCTTAATCACTCTGCTGCAGCTCACTAATGAGTTTGCAGCATGTAACAGAAATCGAAGAGGCTTTCTTAATGTGAGCTGTCATAAATTCACGTTCACATGGTAATACGTGTAATTCTTCGACAACCTGATGAAGGCAAGGAAACACTGGCAGTAATTAACATCTCGGTGCAGAAAGATAATTGTGTGGTTTAATTTTTTCTATTTTAGAAACATACATTTTATTTTTTAAATGTTAAATTTTACATTTACTCAATGGTTCACTAGGAGTTGTGAAAAATATTTCGTTTCGGGGACAGATCCTGTGTAATCGATTATTACATTAATGGGGGTATTATTGTCTAATCATTAAAGCGGAGCCCAGAGGATACAGCGATCTCCATTCCTGCAGCCTCTCCAAAGCACTAACGCCGCTCTAATTCCCCTTAGCTTCTTAGTTACCAGAGCAGCAGTCAGTGGAAGGCTGATGTAATACAGGCAAATAGGGTGAAAAATGTTTCCTTTTTCTAATCAGACACTGTGCTGAACTGCATCATTTAGCATTTAGCATAAATTACTGACTTACAACACAGCAAACTATGCTCCAAATGTAAAGCATATTTTATAGCAGTTTGAATGGACTGTTTGATTGGATTAAGGGCCCGTAGGAACGGCTTTTCGCCATTCTGTGGTGCTCTCATGTGTCATTATAATGGTATTAAGTGTTTCTATACAGCGCTTAATTTCAGTTACAGATGGCTGGTGTTTTGTTGTTTTGTCACATTCAGATGTCCCTGATAGCAGTGTACTCTTATCTTGAGACGGAGAATACAAATGGTTGACCTAGCTGTCCTATATTCATCTCATACTGGGTAAGCACATCACGGATCAGTGGGACGGTGATATCTGTTAGCCAGAGAATTGATTCTTTTCCATTATTTTTTCTTACAGACACACACACAGCAAATAATGGCCAAATGTCTGTATACCAATACTTACTAACGTTACACTATCGCATACAAATGTATTATATCTAACCACCTGTCACAGAAGATGTAAAAGCATTAATTCAGAGAATGAGGTGATTATCGCATAAATAGAGAATGACTATTCACAGGCACATACGTCTTTGCCGATGAGGTCATCCTGATTCTCCACAATTCCCCAGGGTGCGATTCCAATAGTGCAGATCTTGCCCCTGGATTTTGAGGCATGGTCCTTAAGTGCATCCCCCACGTGACGGATCACGCCTGCGGACGGCCATAACACTCCGCTCAGGCACAGCATTTAAAAATACAAGCCCTGCTTACACTGCAGCCAGACCTGATTACATGGATTTTCATTATTAATAAGCACCTACCTTACACTCATCGGACATGACAGAATATTAGCTCCAGTGTTTCCGTCTTCATTACGATGATATCAAAAATATGATGGTACACTGATATTTTTATCCACATGCTACCCAGGTTAAGCCCGGTTTTCATGAGGCTTCATGAGATTTTCACATAAAACGTCCATATTTCTTTTGAATAAAAACTAGATGATGATCTTAAATTTAGAGGACATAAGTTCAAGTTACTTGCACTGTTGTAGTCTTTCATGAGTTGCTCAGTTTATGTAAATCCTACTTTGTTAAAATGCATGTCTGCATTGTGTGAACAATATGCAATTCATAAATGCTTTCAGAAAAACCTTTTTACAATGTTGAGTGTTCACTGGGTATGATGGACAGCCTCTGCATCTCACCTGAAAATATATTTTCTTTTTCTGCCATATACATTATAATAATAATAATCTTATTGCGTGAAACAGAAAAAAAATAGAAGGCTGCGTAGAAAACATTTTAGCAATAATGGTATCTATCCATCCTCTTCTATATCTGCTTGTCCTATGTAGGGTCCGGAGCCTATCCTGGGAGCTACAAGCACAAGGCATTAAATAATCCAGGACAGGGTGACAACCCATCAGAGAGCATACACATCATTTACACCTATGAACAATCTGGCAGCTCCAGTTCGCCCAAATGTGTTTTTAGACCGCGATGGGAGAGAGCGTAAACTCCATATATGTAGAACCATGGTGGAGACTTGAATCCTGGGACCAGAGGTGAAAAGCAATAATGCTAACCACTGTGCAACCATGCTGCCCACAATGATCATATGTGCAAGGTACATTTCCCATAATGCTTTGCAATCATTGGGTAATGTGATTTTCAAGGTGGTTTCCTTCAGGAATGAACACAATGACCACAATACACCATAATTACTTTTAAGTACTGGTAAATAACTGTTCTTAACAGCACATTCATAATAATTCATCACCCACACCATAATATGCAGCTCCCTCACCTGTGTTCACTCCCCCAGTGAAGATCCACGCCCCTGTTGTCATTGCTGCCTTAATGAGCCCTTTACCAAAGACCTGCTTGAGTTTGGGCTGCAGCTCAAAGTTCTGCAGTCCGCCATGGACCGAGATGAGGAGCTTGGGAAGGTCCAGCTGCCACTCCTTAGTCATCAGGTGCAAGAGAAGGTCAGGCTTGGTGTCATATGACACCCTGACGTACTACAAGAATATGACAACCAGAAATAGCAGTTACATATTTTCACATCAAGCCAAAAAAATTAAACAAAATTTTCCATCAAAAATTATTTGATGGAAAATAGCAATAGTGTTTGCTGACAAAATGCAATTATATTAAACAGCTGTATCTAATTAATATTTCTGTATTATTCACATACAATCTAAAGTCAACTTGGGCGGTACAAAATTCCTGCTTAAGATAAAAATGAGTATGTATCAAAAAAATAACATCATAATGACAATATTATTATTGTTTTGTCAAAGAAACATCACAATTAATGCAATTCACCTGGTTATTTATTTAACGTTAATTTAGTGAATATGGCTGACGCATTACTGGAGGTAATTTATCTGAATGACTTTCAGCAAATATATTTTATAATGACCTATTACGTAAGACACACCATAATTATGCACTATATTTTGGAAATGTATACACTGATTGCAAATGCTTAGTAAATGTGCAATATTATGAACACAGGCTACCTAGATGAATACCTTATTGGCCTACTCTAACTAATAAAATGGCTTACAATTATTTTGCAAAGAGTTTCATTTTGAACCCCCTTAAAATGCAATGCTTTAATTCAGATTTTACCATTATAGTCCTACTTTTAGACTCCACTACATGCAATTGACTGTATTAGCAGAGCATAGCTGAGATGTTTCTGACCTAGTAGGTGGAAGTCTATACTCACCATTGCTTTGTTAGAGTGTCCCCCTCCCTGAAACTCAATGGTGCCGAAGGCATCCGTGGGGCTGATCTGCGTGTGCTTGCTGACAGACCACTTCTCCAGCAGGCTGTCATTTTTCCTTTCATTCTTGTCATTCTGACTGGAGGAGATGCTCGGGGGCAAACCAACGTGCTGACCAATCAGACGTCCGCAGCAGCACCTGTGGAAAGCGGGGGATCACACATTAGGCTCTCTTACATGAAAACCGCCAGCGGCAGATCAACCCGTGTTCCTGCGAGATAGGAAGTGACATAAAGACCCAAAATCCGTCTAAATACATATAAGCACAACTGCTGAAAAGTAAGATTTACTGTACTTGAGGCATTTATAGAATCTGGGATAAACAGCTCAATGAAATTTTTCATGAGCAGCACAATCACATGTTATTCATTCATAACGGTTTCGTATAATTCGTCCTGTCCTGTTACAGTTCAATTAAAAATCGAATGATCACATGATTTTGCAGTAATAAATTTGGACTAGCTGTAGAATTAAATTGAACATCAAATTTAATTAGATAAGCTGTGGTGTCTCAAACAGAACCTTCTCCTGAACACGAACACAGGCAATGCAGTTTGAGCACTGCAGTCAACAACAATCCCTGTCAGGGCTCTAGACACAGATGTTTCCATCTGATTTTTCCGTTCAAGGTCAAACTGTGGTAACTGAACAGTTCAGCTTCTGCCATTTTCTGTAACAATGAGTCTCAGATAAAAGCCTCATCTGTGAGGGACACATTACAGAATCCATACATGACATTTTGCCAAATCTAACGCCGTTGCGGCAGCAAGATTCTCACTGAATATTTTATGAGCGTTTCCTCATTAATCTGGCATCATCCTACCCCGATTCTCCCTCTTGGTGCAGACTTGCCTGTTTGTATAGAGATATCCTTAACAGACACTGTACGCCTCCCATGTGAAACGTTTTTCATGGGTGATCCCAGGTCAACAATTAATAGAAATAAGAACACATACAGATACTCTTCGCTAACCACATCGCTATTCTTCGCATTCAGCAGGGCATTGTGTGCATTCGTGTAAAACCCATAATGCACCTGGACCAGTCCATATGAGGATAACGTGTTCCTTACCTGTGGTGGTCCTTTGTGCTTACAATTACGTGTACACATTCTCGCTTGCTGAAGGCTCTTTCTATCCAGGACTTCTGTGCCTTGGGAAACAAAAGGGGAGGGGGGGAATGAGTAATTTAAATTTCGTAAATAAGTTCTGGCTGAACAACAAGAAGCCAAATGTCAAAAATACGCACACGCTGGTGCAATGCTGGGAAAAGGTATAGATAAAGAGAAAGCAAACATGCCCAGAGTAACTCATTTTTGAGTAGTACTATAAATAAACCGTAGTAATGCTGCAAAGGAAATCATCATTGGGGTGTGCAGCTGCAGTAGGACATAAGGTTCTGTACGCCAGTCATGGGCACAGTGTTGACAGCTGTACAGACTACAAGTATCTTACTTCCAATCTCTTATCAAAGGGCTAAATAAATGCAGGGGGGGGGGGAATGCACAGCCACCTACAGATCCGGAATTCACACAGTAGATTGACAGCAGGTGAGAAATGTCTTTATTCCCTTTAATGTTTGATAAATGTAAGAGGCATCACGCATCTCCCTCATATTTATGATGAAACTAGACCCCGCTCTTAACCTCAGAAGTGAGGCACAAAGATGAATGATACAAACCTTCTCAGATGTCAGGAGAACTAGGTGAGGAAATCAATGATGTAACACAGAGCTCAAGATCTCTCCCTGACTTAGATCTCCTGCTGGAGCCTGACTGGCATGACAGCACCACCTCATTCACCCCAACACACCCTGTTCTCTTTCATATAAATGAATGATGGGGATCCACCGTAAGCTGACTCGCTGTGCTCACGCTGCTGCCGTCCTCACGTGCCTATCCACACACACACACCTACACAAGAGGGTGGTGCATGGCTCAATGGGTTACGCCTCTGTGCCTGTGACCAGAATCACGCCCTCAGCAGAATAGTCACACGTCCGTCGGGCCCTTGATCCTTCAACGTGCTCCACGGGCCCTGGATAGATGGCTGACTCTGTGATTCGGGCCCCAAGCTTCACTCTCACCTCTAAATGTGCGTAATTGTCTCAAAGGAGAGAATGATAAGCAATGCGGAACCTAAGGAATTCCTAAGTGCTCGTGCAAATGGCAACATATTGTTTCATGAAAACTAACGCAGAAATTCAACACTTTAGTCAACATTCGCAGACCACATGCAACAAAGGAAGCAACAAAGAAACTAGAGGCACACTTAAGATTAAATAAGAGAGTGACTGTCACTAAAAGAATATTAAAATATAAACTGATAATGTGATTTGTTTGTGTCACATGATGATATATAATGATAAACAAAGATACACCAAACAAGCCAATACAGTGACTACAGGAGACAAATAGATTGCCAAGCGCATTATCATATTGCGCATTGGAGGATTAAAAGTGTTTTGACCACTTTTGGAAGACGGCTGCTCTTACCCTGCAAGGCAAAGAGGTGGATTTACAGGGAATCTTGGCAAAACGGCTGGCGATCGGTGGATTTTACATCTTTATAGCCTGCAACGTGAGCACCGCTACAATGCACAGTTGACAGCCTGGGTGGTAATTAAAGTTTATCTTGGTGGAGGTTTTTGCCAGGGTTCCCCACAGGATGGATGCCAGGGTGCCGGGGGCGTTATTTCTCTGGCTTGGACATGCTCTGATTCGTTGTGGGTGCTGTGATTGTGCTTCCATAAACATAAAGTTATGCTGCTGTTAAAATAAATATTAGTCTTGCTAAATCAGAAATAACTCGACTGAACCATCTTTAATGTCACACCCCTTCCAAACACACTTCATCCTTCGTCCTCATCCTCCCAGCAGCAGGGTGGATCAGCGGCTAGCTGTGATGGCCTCACACCCCCAGGGTGCCTCCGTGCCGTTTGCACCCCCTCGAGTTTGTGTGGGTTTCCATTCCACGCGTGTGAAATATGCTGGATTATGAAACATTGGTATTCCCATGCTCCAGTTTAAAACTGTGTCCCCACAGAATTCCCCGGTGACAGAATTATTGATTACACAACTAACAGTTAAACATAAATGTTTGCTAATTAAAAATGGCAAACAAGACGAGTTACATAAAACCAAATAAAACGCTTGAGCAGATATCATGTGAGAACCAGCAACAAAGCCCTCATGCTCATTTGATTAAATAAAAATTATTGCACATTTAATTTGGTTTTAATTTCTCAGTAAATATTAATAAAACACAGTAGCTGTATACAAAGAAAGTGCAGAGTCATAATCAACTAACCCGCTGACTCCCTGCTTATAGCTCATATTAGCCAAACAGCTCCGTTCATATTGCAGAAGTCAGGAGTTCTATCAGTTATAAACTTTTACAGCAGAGCAGGAGAATTGAAAAAGCATAATTTTGCTCAGCAAATTCAAAAGAAAAGAACGAATCTGATTCTGACAGTAAAGGCACTGGAACAGCGGCAGGTGGTCTTTGGAAACTACGTATGAAAAATTTATCAAATATTACTGGTATATTCTGTAATCCTAAGGAAAAAATCATTTCAAAAATGAGAAAAACTTCTCCGAGCATACAGAAGAGCAAGCTACTGCTGTACAAATATAATTTATTCTTTAATAAATAATGACCTTTTTAAGATGATTCTTCAGTTCTGATGGTCATATGACTTCAAGTCATAATCAACTAACATATATTCAAAGTATAGTTTAGTTAAAATAGTTTTTCTCTGCAGTTTTTACACCAGTGCTAAGTTTTCTTTACTACATTCTACTTAGCAACAGATGCCACAACTTAGCTAATGAAGCAATGTCACATTTAGCTAATTCATAAATTGATAAATAAAAACTGGCATTACATATTTAAAATAGTATAATATTACTAAACAAACACGACTCACACTGCCCTTAATGGCCAGTACCTTGTCCTCTCATCCCACGCTGCAGGGAGCTTCTGTACCGTCACTAACAAGTGTGGCGTCCGCTTGACCCGCTACTCGGCTGACTTCACTCACGGCTGGACACTCAGCAACTCGCCCGTTGAGTCCCTGGGCTGGGAGTTTAAAACCGGCCGTGCGCTCAGGCCCCATTAGGCACTTGGAATGTGCCACTGCAGGATTAGCCTCATTAGAAGGCCTGGGTACAGTCGCCAGGGACCTGAAATAACAGAGCCAGCCCCCCCATCCCACACCCAAACGCCAACCGGGCCCCTGAATTCCAAGGTATGACTGGCACATGTGTGCTGCCTCCTCTCTTCCTCCATCTCCCCCGCTTTGTCTCTTCATATCACCATGCAGAAATGTGAGTGTGTATGATAACAAGGCAACTGGGAAATACATATTTCTCTCAGCATTCCTACTCGCTCCAGAGAGAGCGAGGGAACAAGGGTAAAGATTGAAAAAACTTTGAAAAATCATCATCTTAGATAAAATAAGCTTTTGAGAACAAGTCTGTCCTCAGGTCTCTCTGCGTCAGTGATTTCCGTTCCTTTAAAGACTCACCATCATTTCATGTTTCACCATATACTGGATATCTCTGAATTTAGTGAAATTGTTTTTAGCAAAACTAAACAGTACTTTATTAGTCAGTAAATAAAACAGGCCTACCTTACAAATGTCAAAAGGCTTATTGAAAACCAGTAAAATGCCAAAGATTCATTCTGGAATTCAAGATGGGGTCAAGATATAACCAAAGTGCTTAACTGCAACACAACGTAAACGCAGAGGCCACATGCTCGTGCACTGAGTGGACGATAACGCAGCGTGATGCGAGTGTTGCTTTTGGATTTTCCTCCCCCCCAAAAGGGCTGTCAGGCTGGAATAAATTGCTTCAAAATCAGACCTGCATAAGATATTCCATTTGGACATTTGCATCAAGCCCACAATTGTTCTCTAAAATAAGACCAGCTGCACCGCTTGTGGAAACCAGCACCGAGTTACATGTGTGGCATCCGACTTGCAGGTTCACAAACTCCTGATGAACCTCCTGAAATATCGTCTTCCAGACAAACCTAAAAATACACAGACAAACAAATCAACAGATATCCATCTGCCCATCTTCCATCGCCGCTTTTCCAGCACTGGGTCACGGCGAATAACATTGACTTTACAAGAAAAAAAATCATTTTGTATCATTTTGAATCCACAGTTAGGGAGGGTGACCTGAGGGAACCGTACAAAAACACGAACCTTTTCAGCGTACTGAAATGTTCCCAAAGCAGGAAACTGACAGACGTGCCGACACAACAGGTCAGAAATATTTCCAAAATCTGCTCGCCTGTCAGGCAGCCTCGTCCTACGCATTTCGACATTCTGTTCGAGAGTGAAAGAGAGGTGCTGAACCTGTTTACAGGGACCCCTGCGGAGACAGCACTCGCTGTGCTAAAGGCTCATTCCGATTCACTTCACCGTACAGGAAAGAGCAGAGAGCGGCAAGCCTGAGGCGCTGAGTGTTCCAGCAGCCAAAGCCAATGTGAAATTAAGCCATCTATGTTCTTACAATTATGTCAATGACTGAAAAATGGTCCTAAGGTACACCAATAAAAAATTCAAGAAGTTATATAAGATTGAAAAACTAGGGAAGGTAAAACTCAATTTCAGTGCATTTTAATGTGACCCAGAGCATCAGTTTACATTAAGTCTAACTTAGAACACTAAACATGTTCCAGTTCTAGCTGTAGGTTATACTTGATGAAAATCAGAGATTTGGGGACCACACGAACTGCAACGCATTCAACAAAGCAGTTCACTGCCATTAATAACCTGTGGAGTGACATTTGATGATACTGCATCTGGTGATGATCAGAGAAGATCAAGGGCGTGGCCTGGACTGTGTGAGTCAGGAGGCTTGTTTCATGTCGTCATGACGGCGGCGATCCCCTTCAGATCTCAGTTTTCCAGTAGGCCATTTGACCTCACTCTATTGGATATCTCAACCTGTACAAAATAAGTCTTTTTTCATAAAAATCTAAAGCTGCAACTTCAAAGTTGATTAAAATAAAAAATCTGAAAAAAGGGGAAACTGGCCCTATGCTGTTACTGTACAAACTCTAACCATCTATAAAGTCCCTCACACTGCTGAATGGTGAAGCTTCTCATGCCAAATGTTTATCCAGTTGCTCTCCTCG